ACGCCGGTAGAGGAATGAATGGTGTTGTTGTACGCCTGCGTTGATGCTGCCAGAGTTTCAGCCCACTTGTTGTCCTGGCCACTGACTGCCTTTGCTTGAATTTGGGCCAAAGACTTGATGGCGCGTTCACAGCACCCGTTCCCTTCGCTGTGGGATGCTTGTGCTACGTGTTGCTGAACATCATTGTCCCTGAGGAAAAATTTAAATATTTTTGCCCGAAAAACGGAATCGCTGTCAGTATGGACTATCTTGAAAAGTCCGAACTGTCAAAAGACATCCGCTAAAAATGGTATAATGGTATTAGTATCGGCTTTGAGAATAGGTTGCATGATCATGTATTTCGAGAAATGGTCAACAGCAACGATGGCGTAGCGGTACTTCTCCTTGGTGAAAGGTAGGGGACCGTAGAAGTCCATCGTCAGACGTTCCCGAGGTCTGCTGGACACAATGGCTGTCAGTTCGGTACCTATGGGCTGCGTAGGAACGTTATATTGGAAGCACAAAGGGCACGCGGTGATGCGTTTCCAGGTGTCCTGACAAAGCGTTTTCCAACGGAAGCGTTCCTTGAGTGTCGCGTATACCTTTTTCCAGCCTGCGTGCCCAAGTTCCAGGTGATAGGCGTCGATGATTTTTGCATAATCCGCTGCGTCGGGAGTGATTCTGGCGTCCAGATGGTTAACTGCGGCTCGACTCAGAGCATCGGGGCCTTGGAGCATCTTCCCTGGGCGGTATTGTAGCTCGAAGTCGTAGGAGGCCAGTTTAGTTTGGAGACAAATTAGCCTTTCTGTCTGTAGGACCCCTAAGAGAGCTTTGTGATCTGTACTCACCGTAAATTTCCGGTACTCGAGGTGATGACGAAACTTCTGGGTGACACTCCAGACAATAGCTAGGAGTTCCCGTTCCGAGTTCGTGTACCTCGTCTCGGCGTCCGCCAACACCCGACTGGCATATGCTATGATACGGGGTTGATCCTGCTGGTCGCGTTGTACGAGAACAGCTCCCAAGCAGGAAGCTGATGCGTTGCAGTGAACTTCAAGGGGCAGGTCAGGGTCGACTCGTTCCAGTTTCGTAGTCTCGGCGAGTTTATCTTTGATGAACTGGAAAGCCTGATCCGCGTTGGAGTTCCATTTGAGGCGTACCAGGGGTTTCTTTGGAATAATTGACCGAAGAATACGCTCCTGTTTGGCGAAGTTCATTGGTAGATGAGCGTGCAGATATGTGGCCATGCCAATGAACCGCTGCATCTGGTGCGTGGTCTCCGGTCGGGGGTAGTTGCGTACCGCTTCAACGCTTTTCTCCGCCAGATGCGTACCCGTCTGATCAATCTCGTGTCCGAGAAACTGGATTTTCTGCGCCAGGAACTTGGATTTGCCGATGTCAATCGCTGCTCCCGCTCAGGATAGCGTTTTGAGTACGGCTTGGAGATTTTCGGCCAAAGCTTCAAATGATTTGCCGAAGACGATAACGTCGTCGGCGTATGACAAACACCTGAGGAAGAGATGCTGTTGCAGGATGGTATTAATTGCCCTTTGAAACATGGCTGGTCCGGTTTTAAGGCCAAACGGCAGCACCTTGTACTGCATCTGCCCGCGTGGCGTGTGGAAAGCCATTTTTGGTCGATCCGCGTGCGCAATGGGCAAATGATGATAATTGCCCTTTGAAACATGGCTGGTCCGGTTTTAAGGCCAAACGGCAGCACCTTGTACTGCATCTGCCCGCGTGGCGTGTGGAAAGCCGTTTTTGGTCGATCCGCGTGCGCAATGGGCAAATGATGAAATGCCGAATGAAGATCCAGGGTGCAAAAATACGCGTTGTTACGCCCGAGCGCATCGAGGAGTTTCTGCACGACTGGGGTGGGGTAATTGTAGGACACGATTAACTTATTCAGCTCGCGATAGTCCTCGACAATACGCCATTGCTTGTCAAGCGGATCGTCCCGTTTGGCACCCGGTTTGGGGACCACGAACGCGGGGGAGTTGTACGGCGAGCATGCCAGTTCCAAAATCCCATCCCAAAGATAGCGATCGACAATGTATGTGAACAGCGCGTTACGTTCCGCGGACTGCCGGAAAGGTCGTACAGCGGGGGGTGTGGAGTCACTTGTAGGAATATGGACGACATACTCCGTAAGAAGCCCCCGTTTCCCAGACCACTGGTAAACTACCAACAAAAATTTGCAGAGGATATTGCGGATTGTGGATTGCTCGTCTTTCGACCCATTAATAAAGGAAATGCCCTCCCCAACCGGTAAATCAGGTTTGCCTTGTGGGCGAATTACGGTTTGGAACCCTGTAAAAGCTTTTTTGCCATCAATGGTGACGGTAACCGGTAAGAGAGACAAAAGCTTACGGCCAAGGATAATAGGAGGTTCAAAGGACTCATTTAGGACGAGAAAGAAACCCTCATGCGTTACGCCGCAATAACGGAGTGGTGTTGAAACCGCGTTAGCGATGTTCATTGCAGTAGAGGAGAGCGCGGTTGTTACAGAGGTAGAAAAAGGATGGGTTTTCAGATTAAGGGATTGGACCAACCTGGGTGAGATACATGCATGGGATGCCCCGGTGTCGACAAGAGCCCGGCACGAAGCGGATCCGATGGAGATGTCCAGGAGGATAGGAGGCGGCGCTGGAGGTAGCCAGGAAGGAGCACAGTGCGCCGCATTCACTGTGCCTGCTTTGCGTTTCCCTGTTTCTTAGGACAATCGCGCGCGACATGACCCTGTTGATTACAATGAAAACATGGGTGTTTAGCGCTGTCAAACGAATTGCTTTTTGTAGACTGCATTGATACAGGCACAGTCTTGTCCCCCGTTTCTGCTTCCGCTGCCTGACGAGCTTGACAGTTCTCCGTGCTGTGCCGCATCATTTGGCCATGCCACTCGCATTTCTGCTTGGGTGGGAGTGCCTTGCCATCTTTGTGGGTTTTTGTGGTAGTCGATGCCGTGGTGGGTTTCTTGTCCTTGCGATGCAGGATACGGTAACGTTCAGCACAGGAAATGAACGATTCCCAGGCGATGTCACGATTCTTGAGCCATTCTTCTCAAAGCTTCTCCCGTAGTCCGCCTTCTGAAACGGCAATGAGCTGCTCCATAAGGGTATGCTCGACGAAGGGGGCCCCGGTCTTGAGTAGTTCGGGAGGGAACTGCAAACAATATTTGTATTGATCCCACAGTCGACCAGCAAAGCTGACGTAGCTTTTGCCGTTCATGGGTGTCATCTGCCTGAAGGTCTCCAGGCGATCTAGATGCGGAGTCGGATGAGATCCCGCCACTGCCACCACTAGTGATTCAAAGTTGGTCGCTCCTTCCCGATACAGGCGATTGGCAGAGATCTGAATGAGGGGAAGTGTGTTATTGAGGAGGCAACGCACCCGGTTTTCTTCGTCAACGTGGTCGATTTTCAAGGCGTTGCGTAGTCGCATTTCAAAGTCCTCAAATTCCTCGTCGTCACGTTGCTTCGGTAGATCGTACGGCTCCGACTACCATCTCTTCGCGGCCGGCGGAAGACATGGCATAGAAGCTGCGTTGTCATCAAATGCAATAAGAGCCTGGTCCGATGCGGATAGTGGCATCGTTGGCCGCACAGGAAATGTTGCAAGGGCCAAAAGCGGGATCTGGAACCTCTCCAGTAGTGCCGCATACGCTTCCTTGGAATGGTTGGCAGGATGGCCGAGACGGTAGGTATCAGCCAGGAATTTGAGTGTAGCCAGCGGGAGCGATTCCCAAACACTGCTGTTGGAGGTTCCAGTCGATTCTGACACAGGAGTAGTGTCCCGTTGTCATTGATCGTCGGGCTCCTCTGAGCGTGGGTTGGGGTTCTCCGCCGGTGCACCCCTCTGTTGCTCCTGGCGTTGTTCCATCTCGAGAGCCGCAGCCGCCGCGGCTTTAGAATTTTTGGTCTGGCGCTGCATAACGTCGTGTACCAAGTATGATCGATCGCTGATGGCTCTAGCCCCCAATCAGGGTTGAACTCGGAGACAGTAACTTTGACCAGACTTTCAAGGTACTATGTTTAATATCACAACGAGACACAGAGTCACAGTAAAGGTCAGGATTAAGAACAGATGATTCTCAGTCAAGCAGTCATAACAGAATGATCACTCGTAGTTCGTTTTGCCAGCTCGCCTCCACGCCTCCGCTGATCTTCCATCAGATAAGCTTCAGTGTGCTGGGCTCTCTGGACATTTGGGTGTAGTTCCGGAAAGTGTCCGCTAGATGTCACCTTATAGCATGAGTGGGCTAGCTTACTCTACCTGTAGTCTCCTGACAAACCATGGAGTTTTGTGCAGAAGTTGAGAGAACTGAAATTGAGAGTCTGATGGAAAACATGGCACCCGTTATAAGAATTTTGTGTCATCAAAATTGTCTCTGTGGATTGATTCATCAAGCTGTTCCTAGTTACAGTGTATGTATGCATGCCAGGGATCGATAGAGTCAGAGATAGCCATCTCGAAAACAACAAAGACACCAAAAGTACATTAACTCCAACCTTATCTCCCCCAACAGATCACATAAAAGGACAAGGACGCGACCCTAAGCCGAACCGGGAAAAACATCCGACGACACACACAAGAGAACCTAACGGTCCCCAACCGGGAACAACATCCGCCGCAAAACCACAAGAGAACCTAACGGGACTGAGGGTCAAGACAACAAGCACATAAGCGCGAAAAAAGGACAACGCAGACACTCTTGACTGAACGGTTCGACACTCCGCATCTCCGACTACGCCGCCTCGCCGAGTGTCTTAGCTTCTACTGTTGTGAAAAGGAAAAGTTACTTGTGAAGAACCAATACAACCCTGTGCATCTATCCTACCCAACCGGCCTTACATTACTCTACCAACCGAACACATTACTATAGGTTCTCTCTTTCTTCACTCTTGCAAAGCAGTAAGTTAGGTTCAATGGCTTCTAAAATTCGCGAGGGGAGTTCCGTGAAGAGCAATAGTTCTACGAAATGATAGGAGTTGTTTTCAGAAATCCGCTGTTCTGCTTGTTTCAGAAATGCTTGCCAGATGTGTACCTTCGTTTTTCGTGAAATTATTTTCTACGATTTTGAGGTGATATAGAAATATGGGAAAGTTAATCCTACCCTGAGTTTGGTAGCTGTCTGAAAGGAAGAAACGGCTGCAGGATGGCTGACCTTGAGGCCGTGTTGGCTGATGTCAGCTACCTGATGGCGATGGAGAAGAGTAAATCTACTCCAGCTGCCCGAGCAAGCAAGAAAATCGTTCTTCCGGATCCCAGGTACTGCACTCATTGTGTTTGTATGCATCAAGCGGCTAAGGTTTCGCCGAATCCCGGGAAAGAGTTTTTCCGTATGGTGGAAGTATATATGCAACAAAGGAATCTTTTTGTTTTTCGATGCTTCCACAATAATCTGATTTCTGCGGCTATCGTTCGTTAAACTCTAATTTCAGCTGAGGGTGTGACACGCTATTAAAGCGGAAACCTCTCTACATGATTTTTGTGCTAGGGATATGAACTTGGGGAAGGATATTTCTGCTCTACCCCTTCATAACTTAGGAGGTGGCGATCCCAGTTTGCAAGACGTTGACAGGCATAAAATGGATTCTGCTGCATGCCATAATTTTCGTTTTTATTGATGAAATGAACTAATGATTTGACGCCCTTTTCGCTTGTCCGTTCAATTTGCTGTGCCCATGTGAGGCGGTTGCTATCATTGGAAGAGGCGTTTCGATTCAGTGGTTTTTCCATTCTGCCATCGTGCAAGCCCTTCCTGGGCAAATTTAAAATTTTCATCTCTTCAGGGCTGATTGCCTTGAAGGCACGCTTTCCCGGAGAAAAAGACAAATCCTGTTGATTTCCCTACATTTTTGTTCCTAAGTGCAGTAGGTCTGAAAATTTATTTTCCTGCAGCGTGAGAAGCTTCATGCGTAGGTATCTCGAAAAGATGGGAGAAGTCAAGTTCGAGAAAATCTTCAATCAACGCCTCGGCTACCTGTTGTTCAAAGAATTCTGTGAGCAAGCTTGCGGGGACAACGTGCCAGCGTTGAAGTTCCACGAAGATATAAAGCGATTCGAGAAGATCAAGAGTTGCGAGGAGCGCAAGAAACTCGCGCGGGAAATATACGATAACTACATTATGAAGGAATTGCTCTCGAATTCCTACGTGAGTCTCCGCTGGAATTCTGCTTCTTAGCGCCTGTACTGAACATCGAATTCCTGAATTTAACAGACCTATTCTAAAGAGGCCGTCAGTCATGTGCAGAGGTGTCTGACGCGGAACGAAACCCCTCCGAATCTTTTTGAGGTAAAATCTGTGGAACCTCAAGTGCATTTATTAGGTTTTTAGCAATTTGCACTGAGTTTTTCGTGGTTCTTACAGCCTTATCTGGAAGAAGTCATGCAGCATTTGCGGGAGTTTTTTCCTAAGTTCGTTGAAAGGTGAGCCGGTCGTTGTCGTTGGTTTCACGTGGCTTATTTTCATGTTGATTCGGTTGCAGTGATAAGTTCACGCGGTTTTGCCAATGGAAAAACCTGGAGCTGAACATTCAGGTTAGTGACTGAGATGGTGGTAGAGGTGCGTATGAAAGCAAACTAAATCATGCGTGCGTGTTGATATCTTCAAGAAACAGTTGACGATGAATGACTTCAGCGTGCATCGCATCATTGGACGGGGAGGGTTTGGTGAGGTGTACGGGTGTCGAAAGGCGGATACTGGGAAAATGTATGCAATGAAGTGTCTTGACAAGAAACGCATTAAAATGAAACAGGGTGAGACACTGGCGCTGAATGAGCGTATCATGCTGTGTCTAGTCAGCACCGGCGTGAGTGTGGCTTTTTCGTATTCCATTTCGGCGTTTTGGCTCTGGGCAATCGCTCACCGTGGAATTTTTTTTTTTAATTTTACAGACAGACTGTCCATTTATTGTTTGCATGACTTACGCGTTCCACACGCCGGACAAGCTGTGTTTCATTCTCGATTTGATGAATGGGGGTGATCTTCACTATCACCTTTCGCAGCACGGAGTTTTCAACGAACAGGAGATGAAGTTCTACGCTGCTGAAGTTATTTTGGGTGCGTGTTTGAGCAGTGTCCGTTCAGAATCGGTGATCGTTTATTTTGGGGATTGCAGGACTGGAGCACATGCACCGTCGGTACATCGTGTACCGAGATCTAAAGCCGGCAAACATCCTTCTGGATGAGCACGGACATATACGCATCTCTGACCTGGGGCTGGCGTGTGATTTTTCGAAGAAAAAGCCTCATGCGTCCGTCGGCACCCATGGGTACATGGCGCCCGAAGTGCTTTCCAAAGGCACTGCCTATGACTCCAGTGCCGACTGGTTCTCGTTCGGCTGCATGCTCTACAAACTGCTCAAGGGCCACTCTCCGTTCCGCCAACACAAGACCAAGGATAAGCACGAAATCGACCGAATGACTCTTACAATGGTGAGGGTGCATTCATTCTGTGTTCATCTTTTACCCTCGCTAGAATGAAGTTTCTTTCTATTGAATTTGTGAAGAGAATCCGTGTGAGAACCGTTCTTGTGATTGATCGTCTTTCGTGGTTACTGTGAAAACTGAAAGCAACCTTACCCAAAAGTAAAATCTGCGAGGGGTAGAAGTAGAATAAGAGTGTGAGGCTGTGCTTAGAAGTATGCGCCCGCTTCCGTGTTGTTTTTTTTTTTTTTCTTGCCGAATAATCCGAAACTTCGCCTCTCACTTCTTCAATTTCATCAAAGTGGACAAGTTCGAACAATAAAATTTTGACGAAACTTTCATCTTTTCTGAGCCTTCAAGTCAGCTCATTCTTGTTATTCAGCTGTAAGTCAGCTCATTCTTGTTATGCAGGTTGAATCTTGTTGCAAAAAACTCCCGGGGTCCCGGGAAAAATTGTACGCATTACATATACATGAATACCTTGTGCAATTGAAGAGGAGATGATCACCAAGCAACAATATTTGAAAGCTCGAGGTGTTCATATCTGCTTGCTCGGTTTTTTTCGATTGAAAAGCAGAATGTTGAGCTGCCAGACTCGTTCAGCTTGGAGCTGAAAGATCTGCTTGAGTGCCTCCTGCAACGGGACATTGAGAACCGACTCGGGTGCCGTGGGAGAGGGTAAGTGTTTTCTTGTAATGAGTATTTTTGGTTTTTGATTTTTGAAAAGCCTCTTCGCAATTTTTCCCATGAGGGCTCCCATGCAAACGATTCTATCCGGATGATGGATCCATGCGTTTTGGTGTCCGCGGGATTCCGCGTTGTCATGTATTTGTTGCAGAAAAGTTTTTTTCGAATGAATGATGCTTGAAATTGTTCGGACATGTTTTCGAAGTCGGCGATCGGGTTTAGTAGACCGTCTTTAACTCAGCTGATGTGTTACAGTGCGGAGGAAGTGAAGGACCATGCTTTTTTCAAAGCTATCGACTGGCAGGTGGTTTCACACCAAAAGTACCCTCCGCCACTCACTCCCCCACGCGGGGAGGTGAATGCTGCAGACGCCTTCGACATCGGCTCCTTCGACGAGGAAGACACCAAAGGGATTAAGGTAAGATCGTGGAAGTTTTCAACGTCGGTCGAATGATGAACTCGTTTATCTCTCCACCATTACAGTATGTTCAGTACTACATACTATATGAGCAAGCGTATAAATTATCCTTGCGAAATCAAGTAATAGTGATCAGGGCTGAATGAGCATGAACGAATGAGGAATGGTTTGGTTTTTTACAATCAGAATTCTTCGTTTTGATCCGTGAAATTAAATGTTGAACCTTTTTTTTCTCATATGAATGCATTGAAGTGATGCCTGAAAACCACAATAATTGACTTGCATGCAGTATACTCCGGAAGCAGAAATAAACTGCGCCAAAACATTCAATCTCTGAGTGTTATAATAAACGTGTGGGACTGTACTTGAAACTATGTGATCCCTTCCCCGACTTGGACGTTCAAACACACGTACAGTACAGTGCGGTGTATATTCATGCTCTATGCATACGCGCATTGTATTTGTTCTAAAAAGGGGACTGTACAGAATCATATCCATTCTCTCTTCCTTATTAGCAATGGGAGCAATATAAAAAATTAAGTTAAAAATGGGTTGATGAGAAAAAACTTGATCCAGGCAACTTCAGGAATGGATTGTTCAAGTCCAGGATTTGGTTTTCTTAGTTTCAATTCAATGATTGAGTACTGTTCATGCTACTGTACTCGAAAAATGAAAGTTCGCAAAAGAAATTCAACAATCGTTGATAGTTCTTCAAATGTTATCCGTTTTGTTTTCTATTCCTTGCAGCAAGCTATTATGTGATGAACATTTTCGATATGAACCGAATTTCAAGTGAGCGCATCCATGATGCCTTTCTTTCGATCATGTGTAAAAAATGTCTTGTAGCCGGAACGTGAAAGGGTCCTTGGAGAAGTATTGCTGCGAATGGCAAACGTTTGTTCCTGATCCTCTTTTTCATGAATTTCTGGAAAAGCGGTCGCAGTTGAATGTCTAAAACAAATTAGCTTCGCTGGCCGTGATTCGATTCTACAAGTTTCCTGGGTTTTTGTATTGAACCTTTGATGTCCGAGAGATACTTATTTCCCCGTGACATTCGTACTCTTTCTGCTTGAATTTTATCCTTCAGTATCCCATCAACTTTTCCTTTTGGAAAGAATCTGCAAAATCCTCATTGTCTCTCTGTGGGTCACCTGCTATATGGGCCAGTGTAGACAGCAAGGATTGATAGCAGTTATCATCTGAATACGAAGGGATAAACGTTTCTCGACACTTCGATTTCGTATCTGAATTGTGTAATTATTCTGATTCCGAGAAGATTGGACCCTTGTAATCAATCTTGTATCAGGGAAGACGGTCTTAAACGTTTTAAAATTAAGTACAAGATCTCTGATCGCTGCATCAGCCGTCCTACATCTGGCTGTAGGAGTAATTTTTGTTATTTTTTTCCGGTGATTGGTTTACTGTACTGTATGTTCAGTACGTATTTCTTCGCATTTGCGCATATCATCACCGTGTGATTTTTATTGTACATAATGTAATGAACGATGTTTTGTACTCAATGCCGGTGATGGTCGTAGTTGACGGAGAACGATCAAGAGCTGTACAAGGACTTTCCTCTTGTCATCTCGGAGCGTTGGCAGGCTGAGGTGGCGGAGACTGTGTTTGACGCCATCAATGCCGAGGCAGACAGCAAGGAGCAGAAACGGCGCGCCAAACACAAGCTCATGTTTGTTCAGGATGAGAAAGGCGAGCCATCGGTTTCTTTTAATTGTTCGTCTGTTTGAGAAATTGGGAGACGTTGGTGGTTTGCAGAGTCCGACTGCATATTGCACGGGTACATCAAGAAGCTGGGCGGGCCGTTCGGGGCGTGGCAGACGCGGTATGTGAAGCTGTATCCGAACCGCATCGAGCTGCACACGGAAGGCGGGAAGCCGGACTTGATTTTCATGGACAATATTGAGGAGGTGAGCCCGGATCTGGTTGCCATCAAGGGGGAGCAGTGCATAGTGCTGCGGCCGAGGGACGGACGCGTCGTTCTCACCAACTCTGACGACATTGGGCTGAAGGAGTGGCTCGAGGCGGTGAAGACGGCGCACACGTGTTCTGTGAAGCTCCTGTCCAACATGGCCAAGAAGGCGGGCAAGATTTACGGATCTGGGATCGACGTAAGCGCGCCGCCGGGCAAGTCTGGTGGCCATCATGTGTCTTCAGGCGGGAGTGCAACAGTGACAGGAGGTGGTGGCGCCTCGGCCACTACGACGACCTACATGCCTGCTGCTGCTGCTGCTGCGTCATCCGCTAGTGCGGCGGAGGCGGCGTTCTCCTCTTCCTCGTCTTTTTCTTTTGGCTCTAACGGTAACTGAGTTTCGCCCGCCGTGGGTGTTCGTCTTCTCCACCGCCCATCCCACGTGCTACTACTACTTGTCATCCGATCGGTGTCCTCCTTCCCACCAAAACCAATCCTTGCAGTGTTATCTGCTATTTTTGTGATAATGCCAACGCTGTTGAAGACGCGATTATTTGACCGGGGATTTTTTCTTCCTTACTTCCTTCTGTTGGGAGCAGTATGAAAACTCAAATGTTTTCAAGTCCCTGTCCGCTTACCTACATTCACCCCTTCTTGTGCTTGTTTGGTTTCGAATCATTCCACATCTGTTTTGGTTTGATTTCGGCGAGAATATTGGAAATATTTCAGTGATGAAGTCAGCGGGCGACCGAGTCATGCTATGGCTTCTCATCACTTTCGTTCAAATTAATATGAGGAAAGGCATTAGTTGGCCGATCATTCATTGATTGGTCCTAGTACCTCAACGGTTTTTCTAGGAACTGCAACTTTTCCTGCTTTCATTTGCGCAAGTGTTCAGCTCAAAAGTGCATTTATGGAAGCTGTCTGGAATGTGGAGGGCAGAATTGATGGTTTTACAATGATCGGCTGTATTTTTGTGCTGTTTCAAGCATTTTGCTGAACTCGTCAAAGCCGGATTGAACCGAAATTTCTCAGTTCTTGAACGGACTCCCTGTTGAGCGGCTTTTGACGATTTTCATTCCTCATTCGTTCCTATTGAGCTGACGTTTTGGAAAGGCAAAAATGCTTGGAGCAGCTACGTAAATTGTTTTGTAGGAAACTTGGCTTCGTAAATGGGGTGCAATGAGCAAGAAAAAAAGGGGGGGGGGGGCAGAAGCGAGAGAGGAAGTGGCTGAAAATATAGTAGACCTGTGCGTGTAAGGAAGGATTCATTTGCCAAGTTTTTGAAGACGTTTTTGTGTTTGTACGGCCATTGCCTACACCTACTTCGATTGCTTCAAATTGCTACCATCACTGAAATGTCTGCTAAAGCCGCCAAAATTGTCATGAGTATGTCAAATATTGTCATGGGTGTGTAAAAGAGTTTGCTCCTGCAATGTTTAAAAGTTTGCGGTCACTTATCTTTCATCACGCAGGTATGGCTTACGAGTGAAATCCAGGAAATCGGCTGATCACCAGATCCCCTGGGTTCATAAAATCCTGGAGGCACTCCAAATCTTGCCGTACATTTTTAGAGGTTTACAACAGTTTTCGAGATCAGTCAAAATCCGCCACTGACAAGATCTGCCAACAACCACGTGTACTGTATTCACATCGATGAATGATTGCTAGGACGTAAAGAAAATGAATTTCCACGCTAGTTTAGCTTATGCATATGAAATTTCGTTCGTTGCAGGCGGAACATATTTATGAGGAAAGAAATTCTCGTAACATAAACAGGAATTCTTTATTCGACTTTCTCAAATAGTAAGAGCTCGGACCAAGGAGTTGAAAACAATTACATTTAGCCAGTTGTGATCACTTATTTCGTCATTCACTCGAGGCAGCATTTAATTCCTCCACTTCGATTCTCCAACTTGTAAAACTGTTGATGTTTGGTTTGATTATGATGCTCTAGTCGCAAGATCGGCATGGGATCTTCCTGTCGATGCCAGGATCTTTCCCTCGAAAGTTTTAATGAGGGTTCTGCGTCCTTCCTATTTCCGAATACAGTTGGACCTTCTTGAGTCAAGCCCCTCTTGTTGGACTGGTTATTCCCCGTTCAAATACCCTTGATCGTGTTGTCACTTCTCCTCAACTCGGACTTTCAAATTTCATGCAAGTTGTTTTAAATGGTCGAAATTCCTTGCGTAGTTCTCTTCCCTTTATAACTGAATGAACCTAAAAACCTTACCTGGTCGAGCATGGAAGACAAAGGTATTGAGCTTCATTTAAATCTTCTATATTCTCGGGAAATTCTCCAGCCTCCTTCATATCTTGATTAAAAAATAGGATTGTGCACCGATTTTGGCTCTTGAAACCCCAGTTCATTCAATTTATTTTGCCGAATTTTCGGTTTGATGGAATTGATTCTGCAACTTCAGGAAAGCTTGACTTCTTTTTGGCCAGGATTAATTAACATTTGGCCATGACTTGGTCAGTTATTTTTTTTTGCCCTGACTGCTGCGTTCTCGGATATTCAACAGCCTTTGAAAATGTTAGCAAGAAATCACTGTATTTTGTGTGATCCAGTGAAAATCTGAAATCTCTTCGCTCTCATCTGTCTGTCCGGTGAGGATAAAATTTGGCTAAGATAGGGGAGGGTGTTGAAGAACTATTTCCACGACTTTTGTCTTTCATTTTCCACTTCCCCGAATTTTCCACCTTCTCCCTTCACGTTTCATGGGCGATGCTGTACATCCGATGTTCAGTTGCAGACGTGCTGGTATTAGTCCCTTCAACCCATTACTATCTGGATATACCAATGGCAGCATATTCTGAGCAGACAGATTTCATTGAATTGATTAGTAAGGCACCATGTATGGCCCTGTTTGACATGGCCATGGTTTTTGCAACTTTTTTGGATGATGTCAGTACCTGCAGTTATATTTGGCATCACATTTTGGCTTGTAAAATAACTACCTTCGAAGTGTTCGTACAAGCTTACAAAACACACTGAACTATTTACTCATTAAGTTCATGTTAAATGAAGAAAAGTGCATCAAGTGTGTTCGTCTTCACAATCAAAATGCCCCTTGGCTGTATAGACTAGAGTTTCGCGTCAGTTTTAATCCGCGCAAATTCACCTCCTGTTCAAGCCTATTCTGAATAGTTTCTGAATCATCTAGGGTATTGCTTTTGTCATTTAATTGAGAATTTGTGAGCCTGATTTCACCTTCAATTGTGCAAACAAAAGTGTCAAGCTTAGCTACTGTGATTTGTTTAAGCCCTTCCTGTTCGTGCTTTCTTGTTTGCCTGGACTGATGTACCCTCCAGTGCCCAGGATAACTAGATAATCAAGAAATTGAAATTAAAAAATGCACGAGACTTCCTGCTTTTGCTCCAGTCGATGAATAGAAAATATGCACTGTCATCCTGTTCGCCTCCGTCTTTTGAATTTACTGGTTTTTTTCGTCTAGCTCTAGACTTTTGAAGTTAATACGCCGCTTTGCGGTCACGATCAAAGTGTTCTCAATATTCTGGAGTATATTTTAAATGCTTCAAATATTTAAATAAACGCACGGCTATGAGGGCTTCATCATGTAACGTTGATAAGCGTCTCACCATTTTGTCAATTCATGCATACGGTACTTTTCAATTACATACTTGTTACGCTGCGCATAAAATAATTTTGACATTCTCTGGATCCAAGAATCAATTGTTGCACTGTGATATAATGGATGGTGCCAGTACCTGCAGGTTTGTTTGATCTAACATCCTCTATACCCTGGACAAACGCTTCCGGGATATTTTTTCAAATACTGTAGAAGAAACGTGCCTTGAACCTTGCATTCTTGAGCCTTTGTGTTTGGGGGGAAGTGTGCTAGTCGAGTTTCCCGAACACTCCGCATTGGTTGAAGGTGTTGATGCTCAAAAACGAACAGAAGCATACCTTCTGATGAGGATTTTCGGCAATTCTTTGTTATTTCACAGTACTGAGCAACATTCGAACCCATAGACCTCAGCAAGGGCTCTAAAAGCTAGAAGTGCCTCGAGTTCCCCTGGTTATATCACTGCGGAGTAAGCAAGTGATTTATTACAGTGAAAATGAAGTTATCTCGCCATTTTCTGCATTTCGAGATTAAAAAAATTGTTTTCCTCAAATTTTCCGACCTGCTCTCTTTGTCAGAAAGTTTGCTGGTCTTAAGCATTTCGAAGTTATTGTTGTTGGTAGTAGCCAACTTCATGCCTTTGACGTTTTGGACTGAATCATTCTCATCTCTGCGGAATCTTCGCATCGGAAAATAACCGGGTTATGTTCTCTGTAATTTTGCCTAATTCGGATTTCTGCCTGATTTTTAACGCCATCACATGAAATTCTCCCTGTATAAGGCGAGAAATACCCGTAGTACTGTACATTATTTTATCTTCTGACTGAGAGTACCGTCCATGCCGTTACTGATGCTTTCGTAAGTGTAGGATGGAAAGTGGAATGACATTTGCCAGGTGCTCCAGATTTGATGAATGTGATTCGGTAGTAGCATTTTTGCACACGTATTTTCCTCGTCCACTGACTATCCTACTATGCGTATGCCTACTTGAAATGACTCAGGATTTGAGGAAACAGCAAATGTTTTTCTGGCTGAAAAGTAATTTGACTTCCTCACTAAATTTTTTTCATGATTGCAGATGATCCCGCTAGCGCATGTGACACAACAGTCGGAAAGGTGAAAAAAAAAGGTCGACGGGTCTGTAGAAAAGTTCGCTCTTGAAAAGGTTGATGTTACAGAATTTTTTACCTTTCATGACAGAGAAAGGCGTGAATGTGGGCTACTGATCAACAAATCCCCGGGGATCATCAGATTCGGGAAACTGCATATTTTCAAAACTTCGCGGACCTCGAATACCTATGGATGTGTGTCAAAATTTGACGCTGGCAGAAAAGGCCTGCGAGGTTTATTGCCAAGTATGTAAAAATTGGCAGGACAAACCAAAAAAGGACCTAAACGCTTGTTGAGCGTGTATAATACTCAAGTACAAGAGTAACACAATTGTAACAATTGAAAGCTCATTCCGGCACATTTCTCATCATTGAACAGAGTTTCAGGTTCTATAGTTCTTCTCAAATAACAAAGACGACAACCTAGCAAAAGGAAGAACTGCACTATTATTCACGAATACTGTTATTGATTCCATGCTTGAAACGCATTGCATAAAATGATTTCAACACTGTTTACCGAGGATTCAATATGAACTGTAAAATTGGTCACAGAGGCAATTTTCAGGTTTTCGACGTCGAATAAGACTTCACCATTCCTTCACCAGCCTATGTTTGGCGCAAAAGCAACATGAGGCCCTTGGTCTGGTCCCGACTGCAATCCCGCGGACCTTGCAATCCTTTTGACCACTAATTCTAATTACGAGGCTACTCTTCGTGGGAAACACAACCCTTATCGTCCCATTGAACATTTTGAATTATGATTCGTATTCTTCAACCATGCTCGTCTATTCAGCCTTTTTAAGCGAGGGTTCTTAGGAAATTCCATAAGTTTGATGCCACAAATGGATAGCGCTATTCATGATCACAGAAATGATAAATGCGTCGGAGAACCGATGAACTCGGACTGCGCGTTGTCAAGGGATGTGGTGCTCCGTTAACACCCGCAGCAGTCAGCGCAGTGTGCTTGATTCATGCAAATACTGTAATGGCAGATTCCCCAAAGAATCTTGGAATCTCCGAGAGTTATTCTTTTTTTTTTTAACATTGTGTGATGAAACGGTGGATACATTTTGTTTTTCGTTGTGCTGCGAAAGCTGGTCATGTTTTTCAGAGGGCTGATCCTTTCTCGTGTATCCACAAGCCGGCGTTATGTGCGACCATTTTTTTTAAATCATACTTCGTTCATGTCAATTTTTGAGTTTGCTATTCAGTGTTCTAGTTTCAATTTTTATATTGGGGCTATTTTTGGTTGCTGATGCGTCGCGTATTCCCTCAGTTATGACGTGGGGACAACTCATCCTGCTGCTAAAATCTTTGGTGTGATGCCTTTGCTTCTTTTAAAGTTCCTTATACTGTTGTCGTAGCGCGGAAGTATACGTTTTGCTCCTTGTTCAAATTCATCTAGTCGATGCTGCTTCCCCGGCTATTTATCCTGTTGATGCTGGTGTTTCTATTGGACGTGTTTAGCCCTGTGAGCCCAAATTGGTGACACGAGAAGTGACAGGATTTTTTTTATTAATTGGTTTTTAATAGAAGTCGGGGAACCGGAAGGCTTGCGTAGAGCTTTCTAGTTGTGATTCTGCTCCTCTTCGCGTGTACTCGTATGAAATTGAGTTTTTTTCTAGTTCGCGCTGTTGGACGCAGCGCTATGCTGGAATTTGAAACACTTGAGACCCCGCCGACTCATGAGAACATGGTGGAAAGGTGCGATGAAGAACAGGGATGAGAACCTGGTTTGTACGCTTGCTTGTCTGCCTGCCGTAGACCTGAACCAGCCAACTGTGTGGGACTTCATTATAAGTCGAGAAATAGAAAATTGCTACCAAACGGAAGATTCGACGGAAATATGGGTGCAGTACAGAGAACGAGTCGGGAGCGAGAGGAGATGGATGATTGACAGTGCGTCTAGTGAATGAAGCGAAGCGTGTGAAAATTCTGGGATCTTGAGGGGGGAAATGCAGATTGAGAAGCCATCAGTGGGTTCGATTTTGTCTTTGTTTTTCTAGTCGAGTCTCATTTTGTTGTTGTTGTTGATGCGTATCCCCGTAATGTGCGTTCAGTCGTTGTTTTCTTCTTCCGTCTCTGAAGTGTTGAGGTCATAGAAATGTGCAGGCGGGAACGCAGTGTTGTAAATTCAGTGACTGCCGTCTCCTTGATCGACTGGGTCCTTGGAAGTGAACTTCGATCCGAGTAATGGATGTGATCGAGAAGGCCGCTGCTGCTCGGGAAGGCCGTGCGCAAGAACGGCTACGTTCCACCAGCGCTATCCTGCTGCAGTCTGCCGTCCGCGGATGGCTGACCAGGTACGCGTGAATAGCATGAGTAATTGCTTTGAAATGGTGAGATGTCGGCCTTCTCTGTGATTTGTCAGGTGTCGACTGGGGCGAGAAGCTCGAACTGATCTGTTGAGGGCTGTGACAAGCAACTCAGTCGCACCAGTCGAAGTGCACCGCGCTTTGCTGACTTTTCTCGCTTGCCGACGATGTCGTCTCGAGAAACAAACAACCGCCGGAAACTGGAAGCGTCCATATGAAAACGGTGAAGGCGACAAGGCATTGACTCTCGCAGTCTGCAAGTACGACCCTGATCTCTGTTAACTTTGCTTTCAGTCTAGGTGATCCCTTGAAGATTTGTCAATCTTGACATGATCCGTGGAACCGTATACGATGATGGTATTTAAGAACACGCCCGTACTCGGTTGAATCTTGAATTGTATTGTTTGTCGGGGTGATTCAAAGTTTCCCCGTCTCAACAGTCTGATCTTCAGGTATCCACTGTTTTAATTTTCACTGATCCTGGTTGAAATTATAGGGTCAAGCAGACAAGCTGGGGGTGCCCAGCCACACCTGGGCATTAGACACATTTTAGTTTTGAAAACTTGGATGTACTACAGAAATTAATATGTGGGGGAGGGGGTGCCCACATGCAACTGTTTATCATGTTACAAATTATGCAAAGAACTTGAAAAAAAATTTTGATTAAAGTTGGTTAACTGGTGAAGGACCACCGGTAATCTTGTACTTGTGCTCAATGAACAAGCTGGGGGTGCCCAGCCACACCTGGGCATTGGACACATTTCAGTTTTGAAAAGTTGGATGTACTACAGAATTTAATATGTGGAAGAGGGGGTGCCCATATGCAACTGTTTATCATGTTACAAATTATGCAAAGAACTTGAAAAAAAATTTTGATTAAAGTTGGTTAACTGGTGAAGGACCACCGGTAATCTTGTACTTGTGCTCAATGTGTCAGTTGTGGCCTGGTGGGCCACAACTGGCACATGAGCAGGGGGATTTTATTACTTGTTACAATCCCAACTTGGAGTGCCCAGCCAAACATGAATGTATGATTGTTACATGATGTAAATGAATTTTTAAAAATTGAATGCTGAAAGCTGGTAACATGCCAAGAAGCATCAGTTTTATGCACATTGCCAGGTGTGGCTGGGCACCCTATTTGTCCAATTTGATGAAGTTGCTACCACTTCTCAAGGTTCTTCTGGGGATCAATTCCCTTCCATCCCCTAACAGAATTTAAACATTTTCACTTTAGCTCCTTGCCAATTTTTTTCTTTGACAGGGCTGTGTGCACAAAGATGTTCTTAAAAATTAACTTTTTTTCAATTAGTAATGTTGAAAATTGATCAAGCTAAAAATCAAGAAGTGAAAATTCCCCCCCCCCTCAATTTTTGCACTTTTTTCAAAAATGTTTTTGTGGATTTGTCTATAGCCCATTCAATTTTAAAGATTTTTGAAAATTGCAAATAGTGAGATTTAGAAAACATCTGGGCGCTTGCAACACTGGAATAAATTTGAAAATTGAGTTGAAATTGAATTTTTAACAGATTTTGTAAGTTGGCAAAACAGGAAGAAATGCATATCCAAGAATTCAAACTTTTCTGTTTAGCTAATTCTAACTTTTAGGATTCTGATGCAATTTCAAATTTTTTGGCAGGGTTACATGCGCATAGATGTTTCACAATTTTACATATTTTTATGTCTGAAAAATGTTGAAAATTGAATGAGTAAAAATTATAAATACAAAATGTTTTTTCCCAATTTTCATACAATTTTCATAAATGTTTTTGCGTTTTTGATTCTATCTCATGCAATTTTGAAGTTTTTCAAACATTTCAAAAAAGCAAAGGTTGAAAACTTCATTGCCCACATAACCCTTGAAACAATTTGGAAATTGCTGAATAATTAAAAGTTTGACAAATTTTTAAAGTTAGCAAAACAGGAAACGGAATTTTCAAAAATGTCCGTTTTTTCAGTTTAGCTCATGATAACTTTTTTGTTATTAGTGGAATGTTAATAATATTTTAGGGGTGATTGCGCATAGATGTTTTTCGAATTTAGGTTTTTTTTTCATTGAGCAAAACTAAAAACTTGAAAAGCTAAAATTAAAAATATAAAAGTATTTTTTTCCTGTTTCATCCCAAATAATATTTTAGGGGTGATTGCGCATAGATGTTTTTCGAATTTAGGTCTTTTTTTCATTGAGCAAAACTAAAAACTTGAAAAGCTAAAATTAAAAATATAAAAGTATTTTTTTCCTGTTTCATCCCCGTTTTTGAAAAACTTTTTGCATTTTTCATTGTAACTTGATGAATTTTCAAGCTTTTTCAAAATTTAAAAAATGGAAATGTAGGAAACATCATGGCGCTTCTCATAAAGTTTTCAAAATTGATTTTGGTTGATAATTCAATTTTTCTCAAATTTTTAAACTTCGAAAAACGGGAAACGGGACCCTCCTGCAGGCCTCTCTGGGGCTCTTTGAGAGGGAGGTAAGGGGCAGGAAGGAAGGGAGAGGCTAAAAATTAAAAAAATGATGCGAACACCAAGCAACTTTATTATAGTAGATTTTTCAACTACAGTATTTGCATTTACAGATTATCAACCACTTCAAACAGAAAGTAGACGCCGCCGGCCAAGACTTGTCCGTCGAGGAAGTTCAAACTGTGATAAAGAACGCGTCAGTGCGGTGGC